AGAAAAGTCACTTTCTTGCATCAATAAATCTAGAGAAAGGAATTTTTCAGGATTTTACTTTAAACTTATTTTGCTGTTGTTATAAATTTTAAAATTGTCTTTATTTCATGAAGTTTTATTTAATATGTGAATAAACTTCTAGTTTTTCCCAGGAATTTATATTTTATTGCACTAGTTTTAATCTTTAAATTAGTTTATCTATAGTTCTAAAAGGAAATTGCAATCCCCTCAACTTTCTTGTCTTTAAGACATTGAATCCCCCAAGCTAATTGAACTTTTCAGCCAAGTTTAATAAGCGTTGAGCTGTGAAAATTTGTCAGGCTTAGTCATTATGTGGGCGTGGCATGACTGGGCAAATACTTTGGGCCCGTTGCCAGAGCGCCATGCTTAATGAGCTATAAGTATCTGAAAACTGCCGAGCATTTGCATGATGATGTGGCAATCTCTGGCCGTTGTATATGCGATATCTTTCTGCCACTAAGTATGCAACAAAGTTTCTGACAAACGAGGACGATGCTCGACGGGAGCGTCACTGGCAATTAATTGTCCAACTTGATGAGACAGCATAGAGAATCCATGAGTGGCCCGTGGCCCACTGGGAAATGGGATTCATCCGCGTCATGGCCATCACATTACGTCTCATTAACGTTTTGAATGCAGCGCGGAAATCATTCATTTCCAACCGAAAACGAAAATGAACACAATTTCGGTTGAACTTTGTAAACTCTCAAAGTGATTTTTCGGCTAACAAAAAAGCGGCGATGACATCGCAGACTATCCAAAAAAAATAAACAAAAAACACAGAGTGAAAAGTCAACCCTCCAAAAAAGGAAGAGAAAGGAACAAAGAAAAAAGCAGGAGGAGAAAATGTTTTTCAATTGAATTGATTTTGAATGCGCTCTGTCTGACTTGTGTCTGTGTTTGGTCCATTGAAAAGTGCGTACTTTACTACAACCAAAAACACCCACGCCTACCCTTTACACGGAAATCAAAATCTAGAAAAACTGCAACTAAAATAGAGACATTTTTATTTAATTAAAATATATATAAATTCAGAGATCTGTACATTTTTGGAAATTTGAACATTTGCAATATATTTGAACATTTTCAATAAACTTTTGTTGAAAAAGTGAATTATTCTTTAGTTGGTAATATTTTAAACTACCTTTAAAGATTTGATTTATTTAACTTTGAAACATGACTTAAGAAATATTATTATTATTATATATTTGTATTCCAAACACAATTAATTTATTATCAAAACTTCTTTTACAAAACAAATTTGCAAATAATTTGTATTTGTATTTATATTTATCAGATACTTTTTAATCAAATCATACTAAAGCAAAACACAAATATGTTGTTAAGTTTTGGTTTAAAAAACTTTATTTCTGATAAAAACAAATTATAGTTTTCAGTGTAAACTCCCCAGTTTTTGTCTGGCTGTGTCTGCCACGCCTACGGAAGCATCAGCCACCCCCTGGGGATGGAGTCCGGCCCACTTTGCCCCTGCCACGCCCCCTGCCTCCACTCATCTGCTCACCATCAATGCATTGATTGACTTTTGCGTTGACATTTGCGCCGGGTTATCACTTCTTTGGGGATTCCCCAGCTGGTTCCCCTCCCTCCGACTGCCCCCTTAGTGCCCCCCCCCAGTGTCCCCCACAATAAACGCATTATGTTGCCATTAGTTGAGTGCCAGAAGAGCCTTCCGCTTGTTTGCCAGCTTCCGTTGTTGTCCTCCGTCTGTCGTGCGTTTTGTTCGTTTGTTCGTTTGTTTATTTGTGTGTTTGTTTGCCTTTCACCTAACAATAAAAAATTTCAACTCAATGGGGGGTTTGCAGCGGGAAACTTGAAAAGTTTTCATGCCTGGAATTGTTAATTTAGTTAAACAGTTCTCAAGTTGCCCATCGAGTTTAAGGTAATGCGTTTTCAAGTTGATTGAATTGGGTATTTTTCAAGTCTATCGATTAATTAATCTTTGAATATCAGAGAATTTAAAGGGCCATCCAAATGACGGATAATTATAGGCTCTTCACAAAGAAATTTAAATGTAAATATAAATATAGGTATGATGTTCCAAAATTATTTAAGCAGTAAATATGTAATAACATGCTTTATTTATATTCTGAGTTAAATACATCTTGTTTCGAAGAAACATAAATTGCTTTTAAATTTTTTACCCTACCCAATTACTTTTGCAGCTAACTCTTTATTCCTTATTTCCCATCATGGCATATTACATTACCGTTTAAATATTCCCTCGAGCTTAATTTAAGCCACTTCAATTATGTAAACGCTCGAGCAAAAATGGTTTTACTGCCCATTAAAAGTTGCGATTAATATGTAAACAATCATGGGCAATTGCTGGCAGGAGTCTGTCCCTGAAAGTCCTGCCCTCTTTCCACATCCTTTCCTACTCCCTTTTGCTGTCAGCATAAAAATAACACATAATCATTTTATTAGCTCAAGGAGAACGATGCACTGAAGCATGGGAATCGTTACGCCGGATGGTCCATCCTGTTGCTATATCGTCGGTTCAGTCAGTTCAGTGCACTATGGGGTTTTTGACCACTTTATGTGGCATTTAGTCATTTTTTAAAAGTGCTCTAATTAAAAAAAAAAAAACGGGAGTGCATTAACAGAACATCAAACTGTTATGCCTCATACTCAAAATGTTAATACTTAACAGCATATGTTAGCATAACAGCTGTAAAGTCAGCTGTTGCATCCAAAAGCACCAGCGCTAAGTTTGCAATTTTTTCAAAGCGTTCTTTGAAATTAATTTATTCGTGTAAAACACCATTTGAAAAGAAAAAAACAAATGGAAACTGATCTCACAGGCTTGTACTATATGTTAAATGTATTAATTGCTTAAATTATGTGTGTTTATACTAATATTTTGTCATTTTATAAATGCACCTTAAGCTGAATTTTTAGGAACAAATTTCAACTTTGGGAAGAGTTTTGAAATAGAAGTTTGCATTAGTTTTCAATGCGTCCAAGTGTATGTTGTAGCCTTGTCAATTCTGAGCAAAAATCTGTTAGTCTTATTGTGCACTTTTCCGCACTATTGGTGCAATTTGAATTTTTCTTAGATAACCTCACTTTCTCCAACGCCGACATGGTTGCTGTTTGGAATAGCGAGAAGGGCCGGCTTGAGCAAGAAAAGGCTATACAATGTTTGATGAACAAATTATTTATAATATGAGGATCATTTTGATATGTTTGTCCTGTCAGTTGCCCGTCAATTTGGACAAATTCGAATCATTTTGCCTACAAACTGGCGAATTGTTAGTCGATATGTATCCGTGGCTGCCGATGAGTTTTGAGTTTGATGAAATTTTTTCTTTTTGCTTTTGTTGCACTTTTTATCATCCACTTTTATAGGCATGGAGCAACAAATTTCAGCTCCTTAAATTTCATTAATTTTTTTTTAGTTTTAACCGATCGTTCCTATGGGAGCTATAGGATATTGTTTCCTGATCCAAACGATTTTCACACTATATGTGCCTAGGGACAAACAATGACGATTGGTAAAGTTTCATGTCGATATCTCCAAAACTGACCGAGTTATTAATTAATGCCACAAAAACAGGCCAAAAACCCCATAGTGCAGTGGAATCAACTCCGTTGTTATCCTTGCTGCTCCTTCTCCTTCTCCTTTTCCCCGAAGTTAACATGTTGCATTAGGGCTTCAATCCATGAGCCATGTGTGTGGGTTCGAGCCAGTGGAAGTTTTCTCGTTAGTGAAACTAATTATCCGTTGTCGCTGTCAGCAAATTTATCGTTAAACGTTAGGTGACAAGTTGAAGCCGAACGCATCTGTTGCCCCACCGAAATCCCATCTGTCTGCCGAAGAGTCCTTTAAGAGGATGTTGGCTGACTGGCCGATTTGCTTTGCCTCGAGCAGAAGATAAACAATGACTTTGTGTATTGCCACTCAAGCTATTAAATGATAATACATTTATTGGACAGGATTCAGATTGCTTATCTCGGAAAAACATATTTTATATAAATGCCTTAATAACGTGTGTTTTATATGTAAACATAATATTTCATAAAAATTTCATTACCGTATTTATTATTTTTGAAAATTTGTGTAAGCTCGTTCTGCCGTTTAATAATTATTTTCCTACAATTTTTATTTAATAAAGATTTGATGCTTTCTTCATTTATTCCTTCTTTAATCCATTTCTTCCTTCTCCTTTTGCTGATTAAATTATCATTAAACAATGATGGCTTCTTTTTCGCATTAAAAAACCACAGTTCACAAATGCTTTTCCGCTTTGCTCACTCACTCTCCGTCCGGAATTTCATGCACCGGAAATGGTTGTCGATTTGCAACAAATGGCCTCCGGATGTTGCCACATGGCGCACGTGGAAGCTTCGAGGGGCAAAAAATTACCGGATTTTTGTAACTCTAACCCCTTTGGGCCATTAATTGCCTAGCACGTAATTATTTTGTAGTTAAAATGGGCGCGGTCGCCACACACACACCGCCTTCCCCGCAAAAACCCACACTGCTGCATTGGGAGTCATGCATAATTTGGGTCCTGGAGTTTGCAGCTAATTAAAAGCGCGTTGCCTGCTGAAATTAGTCGCGCCATAAAAAGGAGGAAATTCGTGGAGAATTTCCAAAAAGGGCTGGCGATTAAGCGGGGAAAACAGTCACAGGTGGCAAATTGTGACTTTTCAATTAGCGAACCGAGAGCAAAAGCGGATTCTGTGGGCATTGTGTTGCCTAATTTTTGGAGCCGAAACACACGATACCCAAAAGCAAAAATTCAACCAATTTTACTTATATTTAGACTCACCTTTTGCCTTTAGCAAAAATATAAATTCCCTATCAATTTCAGTAGTTTAAGAAAATAAAAAAAACTTCCCAAGAGAGATCAATTGTGATAACACAAGAACAATTTCCATATTGAATATTGCTGAATATTTACTCAACGCAAAGTCAACAGAAACCAAACAGTAAATAATAGCTTTCGCTTTTGTTGGTTTTAATTTCATAATTATGGCATTTTTTATTTTTGCTTTTGTAATTGCTACATTGTAAATACGTATTTAATATCAATAATTACAATTACGCATAGACACACATACAAACGCACTTAATGTCCATCAATTTGGGTGCGATAAACAACATGCTAAATGAACTTGTGTTTGCTGAAACTTCTCAACCGAGATTTCGGCACAAATCGATGGATATATCTATATATATAATTGCCTGCCTGTGAGTACAGTTCATTAGTGCGAACCAAAGAAGTGAACAAATGTGTGTTTCTTTGTTTTTCCTGGCTCGAAATTGAAGGATTGTTTTTCATATATGCCTTGGTGGTGATTCTTTTTAATGCAGTTTCTCTTACTATATGGGTTATATAAGTGTGTATGTATGTATATGGGTATTTAAACAACAACTAATTAATGGGGTGTGTGGGCTGCTATAATTATTACAATTTAAATTACTATATGCACAATTTATTCACTTGTCCGTAACTCTTTATGTTTAAATATTATTTGTTATGTCTACTCATTTGTGTTCACATTTGCATAATTAGATAGAATAATTCATTTGATATTTATAGATATATGTATATGTACGTATAATTAACTACAGCTAGTGCATTACAATATGTACACTTAGTGGATAAACATTCATGGGTATTGAATCGATATCTGTCTGGACGCCAAGCCCAATTACGAACCCCTTAAGTAACAAACAAAATGTTGCCCCATCGATCTATCTAAGTCGGGTGTCTATATATCCTAAAGCTAACGCAGCGTTTTGGCTATCATCGTCTGCATACTTGGAGGAACTTATCATACTTTTTTTGTTTTAATTTACAATGATCTTTGCTAGAGCTACCTTAGTCTACGGTGTAACGAAAGCGGTTTCTTAGTCAGAGATTTAGCGCGAGTTAGAGATAGATAGAGTAGGAGAGTTGGAGAAAAAGGGTAATATGTCTATCACTAGCATAGGGCCGATGGCTCAAAGTTCAGAGAGCTCGGCTTTTCTTCATATAGAAACGAAACCTTGTAATACTAACCAAATTAAAAGTAATCCTCACACGATTCTCGCACTCTGTCAGTCTCAGTTTTGGTCACTTTTTAGATTGTGACAAATGCAGCCAGGGGAACAAGCTACTTATTCGCAATGATGTGATAGTTTTGACGTGATAAACTATATGAGCCAGTAATAGCTAGAGAAAACTTACAAAGAATCTTAAGATTCCTGAAAAACATAAATACTTTCTATTTTTTGCTCCAAAAACTATTGGGGAATATTCCTATTCATTTCATTACGTCTTTAAAAAAGCAAAAAAAAATATAAATCCAGCAAATCTATAAAAAATTATTGAAAAAGTGTACAAATTAATGTTTGAGATTAATTTTTGTTAACCAAACTCGATTATTTTCAACCAAAACTCTTCACTACATCGTGTGTACTTCTCTCGTTCCCTTGGCGCTTCTTCCTTTGCTTTTAAATCAATACCCTTCGCATACCCTTTCCTTTGGCATCAACCTCTCCAAATACCCTTCCCCAACCTACTCAAAGTTCTCCACTCCTCCGTTGTTGAAGCGTTCGCACCAGGCGAGTAGTTCCCTCACTTCCCGGGCATAGAGTTGCTCCTGCGAGTGCAATTCGCTCTGGGATTGGGACTGTGATGGGGGTTTCGATTGAGATTGGCCCAAGGATGAACCAGAGGGCAAAGGTCAGACATTGTGGCCGGCTGGCTGACTGCTGGTGCCGCTGCCCGAATTGCTCAGCAGGCTCCTTTCACTGGCCACACTTCCCGGCGCGTAGATCAACTCATTGGGTTCCTTGATGGATTCCTGGGCATTCTTGCGACTGCCGCGTGTGCTCTGGTTTCGCCAGGATTGCAGATGTCCTTCCGCCGGATGTTGTGGCACCAGGGGAATCAGCTGTTGCTGCTGCTGCTGCTGCAACGGCGGCTGTTGCTCATCCACCTTCACGTACAGCCTCTCCATGTCGTCTAGATCCCCATCCGCCGTGTGGTACAGAGCCTGCTCATCCTCGTGCGACATCAGCATGGCCATCGGAGAAGGAGATCCCCCGCATCCAGAGTCCGCCAGACCATTGTAGCACATCGAGGACCCATCGAGATCCAGGAGATTCTGCTGGTTCTTCACCTGATCCGTGTTCAGCACCTTGAAGCGGGCACTATCCCTCCCGATGCTGCAATTCGGCGGCAATTGCTGTCGTCGCACACTGGCAAACTGCGAGGATATCGGCGAGGATTGCTTGGCGCCAGGTGCTGCCTCGTAAGTGTGACAGTTGCTCAACTTATTCTCGGTTATGTGGATATGTCTCTGCTTGTCCTTGGGATAGTAATACTGCTCCGAGTAAACGGACCGCGGCGGACCCGTGTTCGTGGGATATATCTCGCTGGTGGTGGACATCTGCTGATAGATGTTGCTCGGCGGCAGTTGCTGTTGCTGATGTGTCGGCTGGTGTTGCTGGTGTGCCTGCTGCTGGTGTTGCTGGTGTGGGTGTGCCTGGGGCTGCTGCTGTTGGTAGTGCGGATGCATGGGGCGTTGCAGGCCATAACCGGCAACTGGTCGCTGTTGATAACGCGATTGCTGCTGATGTTGCTGCTGTTGCTGCTGCTGCTGCTGCTGTTGGTGCGGGGTCAAAATCGAAGAGGTGGCATAGGGGGCGGGGGAGGCATTACCATGCCGCCCGTATTCACTGGGTGCTTTGCCGAAACTGGACACTTCCGCATAGTCGGTCGGTATGTTGGAGTACTCGCCCACGTACCTGCAAATGAAGAGATAAAAACAAACAGAGTTGAAACAAAAAATACTCGGTTATTACTTGGCTTGTTTATTACAATATTCCGACTCTCTGACCCACTGCCTCTGTGCGCCTGTTCTCCCACTTTGGTTATAAATTTGTGCAATTTATGGCTCGGCGAAAATTTGCATTTTCGCTTCTGAACGGGCTGCTGCGTGCTTTTCCGAGCGGGAAATATGTGAATTTAGTTGGGATTTCCCATACATATATTGCAGACACTCGTCGTCGTGGCACACACACACACACACACACGACCAAGATCAGGTGGCAAAATAGTGCTAGAGACGGTTATCCTTACATCCATTAAATAAATTACCAGCTTAAAACAAAGGCGAAAATGTTGGGTCTTTCCGAAAAGCAGACCCAATTTCCATGCCACCAGTCGACCAACCCATCCTCACATTTTTAGCATTATTTTCGTATTTAAATACTGAAAGCGGATTAACCTGGCGGGGGCCATCGCGAGCCCAACTCAAACCGAAAAGGGGGAAAAAAGCGAAAAACGATTTTAAAACTCTGAAAAGCTTGTAAAAATATATGGCGCATTGATGGAGTTGCCATGGCGAAGGGGATAAAGCGCGGCCACTCCACATAGAAGGCTTTTAATGCCCTTAATGAGTGGCGCCGTGCACTGAAAGTTGGTCCTGTACACGGAATAGTAATGAGCTTGTCAAATGTCTGGCTCAACGGGGGAAAAAAACATTTAAAATTATTAAACGAATTAATTATCATAAAGCTTTTCGAGAGGAGAACTACATTTATGCTGAAGTATTCATCTTGTAAAAAAAAATAAATGTCCTTTCATTATCCTTCGCCTTTCTCCGTAGAGTATTTTTCGCTCTGGTCAGCTCATAAACGAATTTTTGCCGGCACATATGACACTCATTATTGCGTGATTACTTTTATTGTTACGGTTATTATTTTGTTGCAATAATTATTAATATTTCTGTTAAATTGCACACTCACACAGCCAAGGTGAGACTCATTTTCAATTTGCGTTTTAATGGCTAATTAAGTGTGCAAAAATAATTATAATTATCTGGGCTGCGTATACATTTACAGTAGTCGCTGGAAAAGCAAGCGGAAAACGCATTTTGAAATTAAACATTTTTGCTTTGCTTTTCTCGATATTTTACCCCTTTATTTTTAGTGTGACTTTTTGATGGCTGATTGGCATTTAATTGCCATTTGTTGGACAGCAGCTGGGTTGGCACAAAATAAATATTTATTTTTTCATTAAGTAGATTTCATCATATTTTTTGTTGAATTGCTGGCAATGCCCAATCGATTATGGTTTAAGAAAGATAAAAACGAAAAATAGACAATTATGCTATAAACTTTTTCCTCACACTTTAATTTATGTTATTAAATCTGGAGTATTTATATTCAAACCACTCGAAATAATTTTTGTTTAATTTGCGGCCAGTATAAAATCAGCCGCAAATAAATAACAATTACGATTCGATGCCAGAAACATTGCGCCAAAACATATTCAAGCCGAAACAATATTTTCACTGCCCCTTCGGTTATTTTCCTGCATTTGCCAGAGGCCAGACAAATAAATTAGATCGCCCTCGGCCAAAAAGCCTGCTACATGGTTTCAACTTTGATTTGCCATCTACCGCAAAACTAATTGCAAATTCGTGGCCAAATTATGCATAGCATATTTTAATTTAACCCCGAAACAATTGCCAATTTTTTCAATCAACTTTAAAGTTGTATTAAAGTCGACCCTCGCAGGCCTTAATAATTACACTGCTCTTTTTTCGGTGCGAACTCAACTGGGCTTTGGCGAAAAATCAACATAAATAGCGTGGCCAACATTTCTATTCCTAACTTGATTTTCCCTATGGCCCAGGGGACAAGGAAGAAAAACTCTACCAAAAAGTGAGCTTTTTCGGTGTGTTTTCCCTTTATTTTTTTGGATGCTCCTTTTTTTTTTTGTAGTCGCCGCGGCAGAAAAATGCAATTTCACAGTTTGGTGAATTTTTATTGTCGACGCTTTGAGCTGCCGGGTCGTCGAAACACACTATCTTTGTAAGAGGTGTTTGGGATTGGATTTAATGTTGACAAGGCCCTACGTTTTCTGGATTTATTAAAAGTCTGTATGGTAAAAAACATGGGGTTTTTATAAAGGTTTTTACTTAATGAGAAGAGGGAAAACTAAACGCGACCTCAATAAAACTCTTAAATAAAATGTTTTGTTAAATTCTCAAACTAATAAAAAGTATTTCCTGATACAAAAGCTTAACATAATGATGTTTAAAATTGATTAATAATTATTATTTTAACAAAGGGGAGAACTTAAGGCAGTAGTCCATATTTTCAAGCTATATTTAATTATTTTTTTAAAGAGCATCCCTAACTCGTCATTGTTTTTAGTGCCTTTATCTTTATCTGCCCCTCTTTATTGTCGGATTGGTTTTTTCTGGGGTAAAACTTACCGCTGCTGATTGCGTTCGCTGCCGTGTCCTCCGTGAATGTCATCGCCGCCGCTGGCACCGCTGCCCGCACCACCGGAGCCACCGGAACCGGCACCACCGCCGGCCGGAGAGCCCGGGGCACCGCAGACCGGCGCATAGTCGGCGATGTGATCCTTTTGCATCTCCAGCGAGTCGCCGCCGGGCGAGGGACGCCACACCATTCCGCCGGTGGAGGAGTCCAGCCAGTAGCCGTTTCCATTGCGAGTCGATAGACTCGGCATTTTGAGCACGTCGCTCGTGTGATTGCCTGCAGGTGAGACGGAAAGTGGGGGAAAAAGGGGGACAGTCAGTCAGAGCAATTAAATGTGGTGCAACAAATTGTGAGCCGAATAAATTGCTTTCCGGAAATTAAACAAAAACATACAAAAGAGCTGCCTAGACAATTGTGTGTTCCCGCAAAGGATTTCGATGGGATTATTTTAAAGAGATTCTGTGGATATCAGTTCCCAAATGAAAAAAATTACAAAATCTCTAGAAAGTTTAAAAATATGTTTATGTTTTTCAAGGATTCCAATTTTTTTCAGTACATAAATAATGAAAAAACTGAAAGTCCTTTAAAATTTAAACAAAAATGTTCCATTTCACCAAAATGTCTGTTTACCCTTCGAAATTGAATCCTAGAACGTTTAAAAGCCACTGCTATAAATTGAACGCATTAAAATAATATTATCCCCATCCAGTGAATTGGCGGCTGAAATTTTCCCCCACACTCGCAGCTACAAAATCAAATAAATTATTGTCAATTTTCCACTTGCATTGCCTGCTCACAAAACACAACCAATGCAACGGCGGGGGCTGCATAAAAAATGCAACCAATTAAACTGTCCCCGGGTTATAACTGAGCATCAAGCGAGTGTTTTATAGTCCGCCACCTCCTGTCTAGTGTTTCCTCATATTTTGTGTCTCTTTTTTTCAGTTGGCTGCAGGTGAATATTCTGATCTCCCTCTCTGCAGCTTAGTTTATGGTAAATGGCGCCCATGAATATGCAACTTTTTTTTGTTCTGTTTCAGACCATTTGGATTTTTTGGCTTTGGCTTGTCTACGCTATTGTTGAGTGCTGAATTTTGACAGCACAATGCGCGGCTTCATTGCTAGATTTAAAGATTAAAGTGCTTTTTTATTAAATGGTAGATCGTATTTAAATTAATGCTTAATATTGCACTGCAATGTTAAGCCCTTTCAGCTTAAAATGCCCAAAAATCTAGGCCAATTCCCTGGGCGCTCTCGACAGCCGTTTAGAGCAACCGTCTAAGCCAAAATGCCCAACTCCCCAGTCAACAGGCTAACACACCCTCTTCCTCCTTTCCGCTCACCTCGTAATGCTGCTAATTTCAATTAGACCACAACCCACCCTCTCCCATAAATATATATACATGTATATATAGCTAGCTGCTTCTTGTTGGCTGACCAGCACACACAACATGTTGGTTAATAATGCACACAAAACTAAATGCATAATTGCAATGGCAGCCATTAGGGGGTTGAGTCGAGGAATTCCGAACTAGGGAAGTTGGCGTCACGTGCAAAATGTTAATTTCTATTATGTGTGGCATGTGAGTGTGCCGATGTGCCTGGTGGCTCGGCTCCTATGCTCTGCCTGCTAAAATATTTATTCGCACCTATTTCGGCCCTTTTTTTTTTCATTTTCCGTTCCCGGCTCTAGTTGTTGTTGTTGTGTCCAACAATGGAAAATTAGCGTTATTTATATATGCAAATGTGTGTGTGGCGTGTCTGGCGAGGAAGGAAACGAAAACTAGCAGCTCGCAACGGATGCAGAGCTTGAGGGCCACAGTCGGATGTCCACAAACCCCCAATAACTGTGGCACATGCATATGTAAAGTGAAATAATGGAGGGTTTACACCGAAATAATTTTTTGTAGGTGATAAAAAAAGTTGTATGTATAAAAATAACAATTAAATTAGGAAAATAAAAATCTAACCTTATGTTTTAATGAGAAAGCAATTATTCACCACAAGTATTTGGCGCCCGACGTGGGACTTTTCACCAAAAGCCCCATGTTGGGCTCCAAAAACTGATTCTCAGTGTACTCACCACGCATGGTATTCAAAGCCGACTGCTTCATCATCATGTGCTTGCGCTTCACAAAGACCATTGCGCCGAAGGACAGCATAAGGATGGCCAGGATGGCGCCCAGGAGTATTATGAACCAGGGCTGTGTCAGCACATCGTTAACATGGTCCTGATTGATGGGATAGCTGAAGCGAGAATCCGAAATTATAAATAGAAATTATCCACTCGCAGTGGGAGCCAAATATAGACAAGTCCGAAAAGGACTCTAACTTACCGCTGATTGATGAACGGATCGAGCCGCTTGGTGATGGGATCCAAACGCAAAGTGGCTGGAACACAGTAAGGACCGATTCCGGCATTATTTCCGGCTGCCACGCCCACCGTGTACATGACGCCTTCGGTGAGATTGGCCAAAACCAAAGTGGGCGAAGCCGCATCGATGGTGACATTCGTCAAAATTCGCGAGAAGTTGTGGGCAGTGTCAATGCCTCGCACTATAACATGATAGTTCAAGAGAATGCCTAAAAAAAAAATAAATTTTAAAAAAAATTTATTAAGTATCCTAAACTTTTTAATGTTTTCTATCATTTTTACTACAATTTTGTTTCCTAACTTCAAACTTACCATGACGATCCTTCAGTTCTGGGGCCTTCCATTTAAGGAACACCGCCGAGGAATTAAGCAACAGAGCCTCCATTCCATATGGTGCCTCATTGGGAACTGTAAAGGAAAACAAATTTCGGTTGGGTTAGATTTGAATTTGAGCTCGGGCAGAGATTGAGGAGCAAAGTTAAATGGCTTTTTGATTGTGGTGCGTGATGTCACCCAGCTGACGGCCGCTCTAATGAGATTTGGTGGCCGTAATTAATTAGCATTTAGTGTGTGGGTTGCAAGGGGATGTGGCTGCAACTAGTTCCGGGTGTTGGCTTGAAGGGTTTCCCGACCATTGCACTGCTCAGACACATCCTACCAGCACATCGAGTGCGTACAAAAAAGGAAACAGTTGAATGGCAGCAAAAGAATCCTTTCCTTTCTCCCAGTTGCAGCTCACTTCACACACACACAGACAGCTCATCTTCATTTGTTTATTTATTTCCTGCAGTCGCTTTTTACAAGTGGATACACTGGGCAAAATGGGCTCAAAGAAAATAACTCTATTTACTGCTACTACTTTAAAGATTTAAAGTGGTTTGCCATTTGACAAATAATTGTTAAATGTAGCTATTAAATTTGAAGCCATTTAATTCTTAATAAATTGAATTTCAAACTTATTTATTTCAAAAGATAGTTATATTTTTCCCTAGGTGCAACCCTCATCCCCTACAGCCTTTTTCCACCCCCTTTCCCCTGTGTTGTGCATCTTTTTGTGTGTGCGGCTGAGTGAAGCAATTTCTTTAAATAAACACACACGTGCAAATTCTCAACGAGACAAAAGTGGGAGACCGGGAAAACAAAGCGGAGAAAGAGTGAAATCTCTAAATAGGCAACGTCTAGCGATTCAACTGGAGTGTGAAGTGGAGTGCAGTCCTTCTTCTGTCTTTTTTGGCTTTGTTGTTACCCAGCTCGCTGAATTTTCCCCTTTCCCTTGGCGACATTGCGACATGCTAAAGTGCTTGTCGTGCTTTTGTCTATGCGGGTGTTTTTTTGTACCCCTTTGCTATCTTCCATGGTGCCTTTCGCCATCGCCTTTTCTTCCGCTGATGAGGCACCGCGATGCTTAACACGTATCTGCCATTGTGTGGCATAAATGACCCCCGGGCACACGAGATTCGACAATTGTCTCAGACACACCGTCAAGCAATTGAAAAACTCCAAATTGGCACTGTGATCACTTCGAAATGCAACTGCAGCCGAAGAAAGCTTATCTAAATGTTGCAGTCTACTGGGTTTCTGTTTTCTATTGAATGGTCTTTGCGAAAATATGACTCATCTTGTTTCGGGGGTTAATTTGATGGTGCAAATGTGACTCAGATTGGGTTGCATGTGACTGATGGTTAAAGTGACCACGCCTTAATCAACATATTCGGTGTCAAACATAACAAGGGAAACACTTTTAGAAGGACATATGAGAAAGAAGAGATATCATATTAAAATGGTTATGTACTTAGAGAAATAAGAAGTTCTTTCTTTAGTTCAAGTTTTTCCCTTGATTATTTACCTAGATTCCTACAGGGTATTCATCAACTTGTAGTCTAAATTTTTAACCTCCTTTTGCTACCCTCTAACATTTACCCAGTGGAGCACACCTTTATTTGCCAACTTCCAACGTGGCTAAAAATGTTTCCTGTTGCGGGAAAAGGGATCCTAGCCTTTTCTCCCCGCTTAAGCAAACTCCGCATCAAATTTGCATTGCCAGCACTGCACATTTTTGTGGCCCACACTGTGAAATGTGAAAGACTGGGTATTCTGGGGAACTGAGTGCTTCATATAGCAGCAATAATTGTTGTTTATCTTTACACAATTGCGTTGGCAATTTCTTTGAGTCGAGCTCTGGCACTGCTGTTTTTGTTGTTGTTGCCAGCAGGAGTCTGACGACATTCAAGTGAAAATGTGATGCATGCGAAATGAGTTTTGATTTGATGACAGCAGAAAGGAGGAGCAGGAAGGGTTGATTCTTTCGAGGAGCAGAGCAGGTGGCTCCGGAATGACAGAGACACTCGCGACGTTTGTGCATTTTATATTGCTGCGGTTTGTTGACTTATTTGCGGCACTGTGCGAGGTCTCATAGTGTCTCTCCTTTCCACCTTGTTTGCCTGGCTTTTGTTTTTTAATTATTTTCTTTTTAATTTTTTCCCTCTTTGAGGTCCTTTGCTCATTGAGAATTGTTCACTTTTCGTTGCACTTTCGGGTGCTGCCGGAAGTTTTTATATCTGAACAGCTTAACTGGTGATGGAATGAAGTGATAAACCTGTCTGGAAAGTTTCCTCTTTTCCCGTTGAGTTGGCATTTTTCTTCGCCGGCAAGTTTTTAGCGTTTGAAACAATCTTATCTGACATATTCCCCGGCTGTCAATGATATTTTTATATAGTCTAATCCCGTTGGATCAACGGCAGACAATCCTTTAACCACCCCCAAAAGTGTACTCCGTTGGATAGAACACATGTAAATCGCCGACATCAAGTATTCTGCACACAAACCGCATTTGATTTGAGACTCTTTTTGATTCCCCAACTGGAAATGTTATCCTCCGCCCCCCGAAGCAATTGTTTTCCACGTGGATTTGACATCGCTACCTTGGATGCTTTTAACATTGTTTGGCATTTACGTACGCATGATTTGCTTTTTGTCGGTGCTCAGTGATTGACATACTTTCCATTATTCGCCCTATAACATGGCCTCCGATAAAAAAAAGAAAACAAAGTAACCAAACTGCCTACGCCCTTTTTTTCTGGCTTGTGCGACCCTGGCAAAAATAATTTGCGATTATGCGACCCGCATCGAGCGCAGCTGATGTCCGCCAAGGATAAAGGCTCAGCCGTTTTCCTTTCACCGCTCATATCCTTTTATTGAATTTGGGTTATTGTTGCAATGCAAAAAGTGCCCTGTAACCCGCCTTCTGCATTTGTCACATGAGGTTCATGATTGGGATTGGAGGTTGGGGTTGCTTTGGCTCGGATTCACGGGGGTAGTTTCCTGTAAAGGTATTTATACGGTTTGTTGGATTGCGCCTGGATTTGATGCACATGCTTCATTAGATCGGGCGGGAGAAAGTCCCCAGAAAACAGTGCAGACAATTGATTACAAATCCTGACTGACAGTATGAAAAAACAATCCAAAAAGCTGGAAATGGAATTTTCCAAATCCGACTGCAAAGATAGCAATCGATAGCTTGATTTGCGGTGTGGAAAAATAATGATTTTTTGTATCAGAAACAAAACTTAGTTATGTATTTACCTATCGATAAATTCGATAACTTATATAAAGAGTTGAGTTCGATAGGTTTACCTATGTATAAAGGTATTTTTTAAGTCGTTATGTAAACTCCTTTTTTCTGGATACCATTTTGTTTTGGTAGCTCAGTTATTTTTGCTTAATTTTCAGCATTCTCAGAAAGGCCATGCTCCCTGACTTATTCCACCGAAACGCACTGTACGCGCTTACGCATTCGAATATCCCATATCAAAGCAGCTAATAGTATTTCAAAGAACCCCCTGGTGTATCCCTTAAAAGTTGTTCAACTCACCATCTTCGAGGGTGCGGGCGATGCGGGAATTCGACGGCTTGCCCTCGACGGATTTGTAGAAGGGCACAATGAAAAATTCATACAACGTGTACTGGACGAGACCGGTGATGGTGCAGGATGAGGCGCCACCGCCGTTCAGAATCGTCAGCATGCGGTACTTGGTGCTCAGTGCGGCTGCTCCCCCAACTCCTCCACTTTGGCTCGATGTTACCCCATCACGTTTGCCGGCAGCGGCAATATTTGGTTTTGTCGAAATCAATGCGGATGCCGAGGCGGATGCGGATGCGGATGGGGAGCCCAGCAGCGGATTGGTATTGGTCGTAACGGGCGCCGGATTGTTGACTATTGGATTTGGCAACTGTTTCGCATAGACATAGAAACCCTCGACGTATTTGCCGTTGATGATCTGCATGAGCAAAGAAGGTGACGATGAGTAATGGGATAAAGGGGGTCGTCTGTGCTGTGGATTACATACCTGCCAGGTGAGCTTCATGCTGGTGGAGTCCACCACACTGGCGTTGCTCAGCTCCACCACATCTCCGGACAGCAAACTAGCACGAGCCTCGCTGAGATCCAGACCACTGTTGAAGTACTTCTGAAAATGGGCAGCAAATAAGGTATTAATGGTGGAAACATAAAACATAAGGATGAAGGCAATAACACTCACCGTTCCCACCGTAATAGGTTCCGACATTGGACTGGGCAGTGATAAGCCGTGGGAGTTCTCCGCCCGAATCAGGAAGAAGTAATTCACACCCGGCAGCAAGCCAGTTTGGGTAAACGTGGTGTTCTGCACTCGCGTGCCCACAGCCACCCAGCCATCCGTTTCGTTCTTGCCAAACATCTCGATTACATAGCCCACCAGACTGGAGCCGCCCACTTTGTTGCTCCTCGTCCAGCTGAGGGTCACCGCGTTCTCGCCCTTCTCCACCACTTGTGGTTTTCCCGGCGGTCCGGGATAGGTGGAAAGCTCTGCCGCCCTAAAGAACTTGATATTGGGATTGGTCCGAGTGTCCAAACGAAGGTAGCCACTCCACGAGGACTTTCCATTGCGATTGCTGGCCACACAGGTGTACAGGCCTTCATCTTCATGCCGCTGAAGGTCGGAAATTGTTAAGGCTCCTGCCTCCGAGACATTCCGGCGCTCATGCTCCTGCACATCGATGGGTATGCCATCCAGATACCAGGACACTTCCGGCACCGGAGTGCCCAGAGTTCGACAGGGCAGAACCACAATGGATTTCACGGGCAGCGTTTGATTCACCGGACCCTGTTCGATAATCGGCGGTGGCAATTCGAACTGCGTATCCACACTGACCACCGTCCGACTGCTGACGCTGCCCACGGCATTCAGGGCATTGCAAGTGACCACCTTTCCCGAATCCTCGCGGGCGAATCGGGCAATCGAGAGCACAGAGCGACCCTCGGGCGTCAGGGTCACTTCCATGCGACCATCACTGTAACCCGGCAGCAGCAGGGAGCTATTGCCCTCCACCGACCAGTAGAGGGTTGGCCGCGGATGTCCGTTCGCCTGGCACTCGAACAGCACTTCATCACCGATCTCCACCAGTTGATTCTTGGGGCGTATCACAAACTTGGGGGGTGCTAAAATGGGGGAGAGGGGGTACTTTTAACACTCAAAAAAAATAATACAAGGAATTCTATACATTTTTTAAGAAGAAAGTTTCAAGAATAGCAAAAGTAATGTGTTGGCTTATAATTCCCAAATTGTTTTTCTGTTACAACAAATACCAATTTTTGCATTCTTTTAGGTAAGTGTTATATTAAATATAGTCATTGTTATCAGTTGTAATGTAATGCAATAGGAAAATGTCCAACATTTTTGCAAAGTGCACTCCTTGAGCATTTGCCGCTGCTTTCTGGCAATTAACTTACCGTGAACGGTGAGGATGCCCGTGGCCGTGATGCCGCCCACCGCATTGTCCGCCTCGCAACTGTACTCGCCCATGTCCTCCAGAGTGACGTGGTCCAGCTTCAGACTGCGGTCCTCAAGTATGTGCACACGACCTGCGGAAAGAATGAAGAAAATCGGGGAATGAGTCTCATGTGAGTGTGGGTTGGGTTGGGTCCAGCCCAGACCCATTCGAAAGAAAAACAAACTTTCTGGTTGTCTGTCTCTGCTTCTACTTCGTTAGTAGTTCAAGTGGCGGAAAAATGGCCAAGCCGTATTCTCCGCAGCCGGAGAGCCAAATAACCGCAGCAAAGTAAGCCAAGCCAAGACAAGATACGACATAGACATTCACCGCCCACCTCCCACTTTCTCCCAAAGGAGAAGAGCACCTTTTGTGGTTTTCCCTTACAATAAACAGAAAGAAAAGACAAAGGTTTCGGGGGAGCGAGAAGCTGACTATGCTTTCTTTTTGGTTGGTTGACTGCGAAATAGGTTTTAAATGTGGGTGCTGTCGGCTCACCTTCTCGCTTCTGTGTTCCTGGCCACTGTGCCAATTGTTTGCTTAACAAAAGTTTAGGACAACAAGGAGGAGGTCCACTGCCCACCCCCGGTGGAATCTCTTCTGCTACTATTTTCTTTGAGGTCTTTAAAGAAGCGTAAACTAGCTGGAGAAAATTGCCAAGGGGGAGGGGGGAGATGGGCGAATGTCTCCCCCAATGAGGGGCTAGTTGCACTGCCCTTCGGGTTGCCAACTGACTCCGTCTGAAGGACAACATTGCAACAGTCGAGTGTTGTGCAAGCAAAATTGTTGATTGCTGCCAACAGAGATTGGCAATTAACGGAATTAAAAGTTACAGTTGTGTTTGCCCAGCTAGGGCGAAAAAAGGGGGCGTGGCCGAGGGTTGGCCTGGAATGGGGGGAGGGGTGGCTACCCTGGTCCAAAACCGCACCACCCAAACCGTGAACCCAAACTAACATCAGCAAACGAAATTGAAGGGGGAGTAGTGTTGTTATAGAGGTGTTTTCTGCACTGGAAAAAAATTCTAAAGTTAAGGATTTCAAAGGAAATATTTTTTTAATTTCATGTCTAATTTTTCTAAGTCGGATTCTATGTTTTTTGGAAATATTTCAACTTTTAAACAATAGTTCAGATAAAAATATTTCTATTGTTTGAGGTCAATTACTTAAATCAAATCACATTTTCCAGTGCATTCCGTAAACACAGCCAATTGGCAACACGAAAAGCCACAGGCCAAAGTAACCGCATAAACTAACTTTTTGTTTTGTTTTCTATTTTTTTTTTTTTTGTTTTTCTGTGTGTGAGTGTGTAACGAACCCTCGACTCTACTTGAGCCATGGGTAAACAAAAAAGCTTTAATTTCATTTGAAATTGCGGCCTGTGTATGTGTGTATAACTGCCCCAGTAAGAGAGCCACTAACGTCAGCAACATGGCTGCCCAAGCATTTCCGGTTAATTGAAGCTGAATGAAGCCAAGAAAACTTACTCAGTGGCATGTTGCCGCTGGAGGCAGTGCGTCGCCAAAGGACATCGGGCAGGGGATCGCCTCCAATGCGGCACTGGAAGACCACCGAGCTGCCCACCACAGCCGTCTGATTCTGGGGTCCACGGATGAGGAAGGGACGAACTGGAAAATAAATAAAGTATAGGGAAATATGGTTGTAGTAAAGATAATGTTGAAACATAAGACTAATGTTATACAAAGTATTCGGTAAGTCGAAATTTATGCTTATTTGTTTAAAAAGAAAGAAGCTATATTGATTTTACGATATTTTTTTGATTCTTCCTCTGTCAATCATATAGTTTCAAAATTGAGAGACTAGTTAGCTTAGGAATATCAGCTGTTTAATATAAATATCTTTGTAGTAGAAAAATTGACTTGTATGGTTCATACAGTGAAAGAATGCTGATGCATTTTGGAACACCAGATTTTAGGATTACTTTTAATTTTTATATTTCTTTTAAATACAAATTAAAAGCAATTTTAACATTAAGAAAATTACATTTGTGAAATATGGATTTCAATTATTTATCTTATTAATCTTAATTATTAAAAAAAGAGAAACATTTATTTGTACTCACCATGAACTTTGAGAAATGCGGTGGCCGACTCCCTGGTGCCAACCACATTCTTGACCACACACTGGTACCGGCCATCGTCGGATTGGCGGGCTTCCTGGATGGCCAGATTGCCGCCGTCGACAATGCGAATCCGCTTGTTTCCGACCAGACTCAGGGTCTGTCCGTTCTTGCGCCACGAGATTTGCGGCTCCGGGGATCCGCGGGGGGCGCCGCATTCCATGAGGGCCACTTCGCCTTGGGCCACGCGGGTATTTGCCGGCTCCAAGCGGAATTCGTCGCGGAGAACTGGAGATTGGGGAGAAAAGTGGGGAAACGCCAGTGAGAATGAGGAGCACGGGAAAATGGCCCGGAGTAAGAGCTTTGATTGATTCAATATTAATAACTGTCAGGTGTACAGGCGGCGTCCACTTTGCCCGGCTGCAGCTATATCTCCTCCATATTTTATAAGCCAGACCCTCGACCATCCCTCTCCGCTGCCTCAATATGCCAATAAAAGCTTGGTAATGATGCCCAGGTCTCAGGTTTACGGCTTTGAACGGACACAACTCTCTCTTTTGCAAACAGCCAACGGAAATATTAATAAGCTTTGGCATTTGCAATGCTTATTTTTATTTATTCGCCCGCCACTCGCATCTTCTTCGCTCGCTTTTTTTTATTGAGCGAAAATGCAAAATGGTTGGAGAGCATACAAAATGTAAAATGCGAAATGCGAAATGCAAAATGCACTCCAATAAACGCATAATGCGCTCCACTGAACGCCAAAGGCACCGAAATAAAAACACGCCAACGATGGCTTCTCTTTGCCAACTCGGTTATCGGGGAAACATAAGTAGGATAGCATGCCATGCCGGCAAATGGTCAAGTTTTTATGGCTTTAAGCGCAGCTGAAATCGGAATCCTTTACGGTTTACCAGATTAATTAATCCCAACTTCCGCATCCACCTGAAATCTGCACAACTCTAATGAGCTGCCTATCGATTACGGGGAAACAAGACTTCTTCTTGCTTTATTTTATTTTATTTTATTTCCTTTTATTTTATTAATTAGAAAGTACAGCAGAGAAATCAGGAAGCGGACAAAGGGGGAAATTGAAATGCAGCTGCCCGTTTTGGGGTAAATTTCATGAAATGCAACCCTCCAATTAGCTGAAAATGTTGCGTTGGTCTAAATCCCAATCAATCAATGTCGTTTTTGGGTGGTTTATTCTCTAACATTCCTGCTTTTGATATGGTTTATTTTTTGAAAGCACTAAACAAAAAATATAGTTACAAAAAACTAAGATAAACTTATTATCCCCTGCTATTGAAACTAAAACCATAAAGCATCTACTAAAATCAATAAAAAATTGAAAACTGATGTATTATGTCATATAGTAAATTGCAGTACAACTATTTAAGCAATTACTGCCAACATAAATTAAACATTGTTACTTACATGCCACTTGCAACGTTGCATTCCTGGAACGGGCTACTCCAAACTCGTTTTTGGCCTGGCACCAATAAGTGCCCGCATCGCTCTCTCTACGTGAGTGGATAACCTGCGGGGGGGAATAGGGGGGAAAAAGAGATTATTAGATACTCGGGTTAAGAGATTTAAGTAGTTTTTGGGCAGCTTATGCCCGGGTCACGTGTCAGATCAAAATGTCTCAAAATCGCTCATCCGAAATCAAATAAAAGTGAAACGTGCCGTGCGCCATTGTCCCTCTCTTTTTTGTGCTGCTTGTTGTCCAGTCTGCGTATACGCAATTTAATTTAATTAAAAAATACATTCAAGCCCAAGGGGTAGCATCCTCCGCATGAGTCGAGTCTGTTGGGCCTTAATCACTTGGCCACTTCAATTTTAATTGACAACAAACTGAATCTCGCCTTCGGAAGGGGTTGACTAACCCCCAAAAAAAAATACAAATTGCAGAAGAAATTGTTATGGACAATAATAAAAGTAAATTGTTGAACTTGAGCTCTGCCCCGGGGATCAACTTGAAAATTTGTGTGGAATTATTTGAAAGCGTCTGCTATTTTGTTTTATTACTATTTGAATTTAAGTTTAACCCAGAATTTAAGACTCACTGAGCCATTAATAATTGGCGGAAAAACAATAACAAATAAAAAAGAGTGAATTTGTTGTATTTAATGAAAATATCAGAGAGAAATAAGAAAAAAACGAGTAGGAATTTAATATAAACAGAGTCCGAGGAAATTGCAATTTCTGATGGGAGAGACAGACGGAGGACACCCTTTCTTCTTCGCCGGGAGTTTGGGGATTTTGAGGAGTCTCGTTAGCTGAAATTGCGCAATGTGCACGCACGAAATGATATAGGGGTTGTTACTGGGGGCTCTAACCCCCAAACAACATCTTTTGTTTGTTCATCAGGTTGTTTTCCCTATCAACTAGAATGCAACCAGACGGAAGCCCATAAAATAATATGGGCAGGCCAAAAAAAAGGTAGGAAAAGAACTGCTTATGCACAAATGTTGCGCTTCACATGAGAATGAAGTCCTGGGAACCCAAATAAAGGCATTCCACGCCTCCCAATCGACAGCTGTAAAGCCCATAATGATAGAGTTGAATCGGAATGAGTTGATTGGTTATGATGTGTACCTTGAGAAAGAATAAACCGCCGGCGGGCAGCATTATGCGATGCGAGCCCGTATCCGTCTTCAGTTCGCGACCGTCCTTAAACCATTGAATGGTTGGTGTTGGATTGCCCTCGGCCTGGCAATTAAACGTAAATGGATCATTTTTGGCACCGTCGTGTCCATGGGATGCTCGATGATGCGTGGATTTTCACCTGGAATGGAAGGGAAACGTTTTTTTTTTTTTTATTGTATTGTATTTATTGTATTCCTTTTGTGGGCGATTATGTATGTAAAGTAACCCTACACTGAGACGGCCACTTGAGTGCGTGTTGTATTTCATTTTGAGTGGAGGACACACTCACACATGGCAGAGAGATCATCTCTCAGGGGACTTCCCCTGAACGAAACTCATCTTTGACGGCTAAACAAGTTTTGTCACTTAATGCAGCGGCAATTAAGAGGCCATTAAGTAGACTGGCAACACGGACCCCCTTGGTAGGGAAATCCGGGCAGAAATTATGTTAAGCAGCAACGAAATTTCACTTGAGGCAGCCGCCGCCGCCGCCTCCTCTCAAATTCAATTAACTTCATGAAAATATTTGCCCGCCCACGGCTTCGCGCACAAAGGACCCAGGGACTAAACATAAATTTGTGCATGTCGATAAGGATGAAACAAAGGACAACGCTAGATAAACTTTATTAAAAGCAGCAGAAACGATAGACAGCGAGAGCAGTTGGAAACGAACGAACAGTTGTTGGGCTACAGCTGAAATGTAATTACAAAAAGCGCTTAAAGGTGAAAAATGTGTGTGTTTGCCAAACGCAGACGGAGAGCGAGGAGCGATGGAGCGATGGAAATGCCAGGACTGAGGTGGAATGCCTTTGGTTAGTAACATCATTCAGCCGGAAATTAAGTTTTCCAGATTTATTGAAAGCGGATAGTAATGAGAGCTTGCAGCGCCGGAGAGGTACGAAAAAGCCAGAGCAAACAGTGAATAGAGATGCGAGTATCACTGTTGGAAAATGTGGAATAAATCACAGGATGTATGCAGTCATAGGGAGTTAAGGGGTAATATGTGGGTATATACGTTAGGAGTACTCTACATATATACTTTAGAAATAAATGCACATATTCAATGCAATTTGTATAGCACCCTCAGGTAATTATTGAATAAACATTATATAAAGATCCCATTAAAAGGGCTGCAACCTTGCTACTCTAATCCCAAGCCATCTCCTATTTCATTAAGCCCACCAAAAGTAACTAGATCTGCTCGCAATTCGACACCCAAGGCGTGACCTTTGAACCCTTGGCATTGCCAATATGCAAATCGAATCGTGACACTGTTATCACTATGGGAAATCACCGAATCAGCATCCAGTGATTTCTATTTCAAGCCAGCAGCAGCAGATGAACGATGACATTTGTCAAATGTGTTTCAGCAAAAAAGAGACAAGAGGTTGGGGAAATAGAAGGACTGCACCTTGGACATTTGTCAATTGCTGTTGTACTTGGCTTGTGATGTTGTTGCTGCTGTTGTTGTTGTTGTTGTTGTTGTTACCACCCGGACACCAGCCTTTTGTTAAATTTGAAAAGTGGGGGAGAAAGGATGTTGTGAGCTTTGAGCCATTGTCTGATTTTGGCCATGTCCAAAGGCTTTGTGCCTGCCCCTTTTGTTCCTTTGCTCCGGTTGTCATGACTACACTCTTGTGTGCTAATTTAAATGATGAAATATACTCCAATAGTTCCGTCATGCCAACGCATAGCTGCTTATTAAAAACGCACCACAAAGTCTGCACATTTTTTTTGCTTTTGCAACCAACACCTGCCAGAAGATTCTTTTGCCGACATACAAAATATTTAATTAAGCAAAAATCTGCTGCTGTTGTATAAATATTTCAACATTTTTTTTGTTATCCCACCAGCAGCAAAGCGAAACCACACAGAAAAGCAAAACTAAAGGGAGACAGGACTTCGATAAGCTAGCCAGAAGTAAAAGCAAAAATAAGAAAGAAAAACAGGTAAAATGTGTAAACTTTCCAGCAAGAATTTTCCACACGCACAGACTGCCGGCAGTTGTTAAATAAAGCGAGTGAGTGAGAGTTGAAGTTTTTCATAATAACATGTAAAAATGCAACTGAGAGAAAATATTCAGCAAAAAACTTTGACAGAACTGGAAAACAATAGAGGGAGATGCAGTGGCAAATTTATTTGTAGATTTATAAAATCATCATAAAATAGTTATTAAATATTTAAATAGAAAAACTATATTTTTCACTGTCATGAAACTTTGCTTTTGTGTTTACCTTTAAAGTATCTCATGTATCATACTATATTTCACTGATAAAAAATAAAAATAATATCTTATGTCAGCTTATCTCTGCAGTCTTGTTATTTCTTAAATATTTCAAATAAAATTCATGAAAAAAAATTGTAATATTATTTTAACCATGTTTTCTGCAATTTCTCAGCTTTTACCTCACACAATTACCCATTTATCCTCAGCACTTAATTACGCTCATTTGGCATATATGCTCTTCGTTTGTTGTGCGTTGTGTGCGTGTGTGGGTGTGGGTGAAAGTATATGCATGTGTGTGGGTGGTAGGGAAATTTATGCATGCATACACCGTAGTGGAAAATGTAAAAGAAGTTTTGAGTAAATAAACAGCAACAGGAACACAGAGGCAAAAAGTGCTGCCGGCGATGGAATCATGCAAGCATGCACCTAAGCAAACAATCGCGTCCACATTTGGGGGCCAGAAAGAGACAGTCGTTGCGGTGGAGAAAGGGACAGAGAGAGAGTGAAGAAAGGGACAGAGATAGGGGGTCTGCAGAACTCATAATGCACAACTAACGTGCTGGGGAGTTTTGCGGGCAGCAGCAGCAAACACCAACAACAATAACAGGAAATGCATTTCGTATAGCCGCTGTTAAGAAATCGTCTGTTATCTTAGCTTATGTTGCTGTTCTCCCCGTTGTTTTTGTTTGCCGCCGTTTTTGTGTGTTTGTCCAACATCAGCATAAAAGAAATTGTGTAGCCCTGGAGCAACATCAGAACATTAAGTATCTACCACTCGACTGTGATTTACTTTGTTCATTTGATTTCGCAAGATATTGTATATCAGTTTATTACTTCTTTGGGAACCTGTATCCCAAAAATCATGATAATATGTATAGGAATATCTTAATATCATTATTAAATCAGACTAAATCTTTAATAATTTAGTAAACTTTATTCTATTTTTCAGTTAAAAAATGATCAAATTGCTATGATCATCTACTGTGATACTAAACCCAAAAACAACATACCCTATTACAGGATACCAAACACTAGAAGCATTCACAACTGCAACTACAACTTGAGCTGCTGTTTGATGCTGTTGCATTTCTGCTAATTTGCTGTTGCCCCGTTGTTTGACTTTGGGGCAGAAGGTGCTAAAAGAGACTCCAAGACTCTGCAGGTTCTCAAGCATCTTATGCCAATATGCATCATTATTAGCATGTCAACAACATACTATACACACAAGCACACACACACACACGGTGACAACAAAAATCACAACTTTCCCAAATGACGGCAACATTAAACGTGTATACAAGCAGCTGCTCAAAATGCATATGCAAATAACTTGGCCAGCTCCTCTCCCACAAGACAGACTTGTAATCAAACAACGAATAGCCGCAATTTAGGGGGGATGAGGGGGCCGACAAGCAGGTGAAGTTGTTGGGGGCAGCCTGCCGGAAAACCATCATCTAAGCAACATATGTTCAGGTAATTGAAGATGTATGTATATGTATATTTAATTGTAAATGCATGCATTTATATTTCTTTAAATTTAAAAGGGCTTTGGTAACTAAATCTGGGTTTGACAGGACTAAAATATAAGATATTTTAATCACATGGTTTGAAGCCATATTAATTGGCAGAATGTTTTTCTATTGTATCATGTACGTATGTACCTTGAAATCTTTACCAAAATTCCCTTTACAAAAAATAAGCATTAATTAACAGGATTAAGTTTTCAGACTCCTTCATAAATATGCATTATCAACATAAATTTAAAAATCCATTACCCAAATTATTTAATTTTAATTTTTTTAAACACAACAAAACTTTGCTTATCCCTCGTCAGAAAGTAAAAGTTCTTTTTCGCTGCTGGCCCCACAAATCACAGGATGTCAAACTGTGGCAGCTTGAGTACTGCAACCATTTTCCTTTTTTGCGCTTTTGCCTCTTCTATTTCCCCCCTTTTGAAAAATGGGGAAAGCGACAGGTTGGAAAGTCCTTGATGTGAACTGTGACGTCAGGCGAGGAGGGTCTGTTAAAAAATTAACTGAGCTACAGCTAGTCCTGCTCCTGTTTTAGTGCCATTTTGATTTTCCTTGTTCCCTTTTATGGGGACACCAAAAAAAAATATGCTGATCTTTATAAATTTACTAGTAAAAATAATGTTTTTGAAGTTTTCTTATCATTTTTACATTTCATATTTTATTCTAACGATCATTTTTTTTGTTACCTAAACCTAGATGAAAAACAATAAGTAATAACAATTTCTTTCCGTGTCCTTTCTTTCCCCAATATTATTGTCGTTGTTCTTATTGTTTTTGCATTGGCTCAAGAACAAACTGAACAATAATTTATAAGCTTTTAGTGCAACGCGACTTCTCGGGCAAAAACAAAAGCAACAGCCAAGTTTTTGATTTGCCGCCAGCTGATGGAGGTTGCTGTGTTGTTGCTGCTTCAACTTTCTGCTACCATTTATTTATTTATGCTGAAATGTTTAATTTTTAATGGGCCTGCAACTTGCCCGGGAAAATGGGGGTATCCTTTCAGTTGGGGGCTTCTAAAAGCTGAGGAGTTCGTAAGCCTTTTGCACAACTTTTGCCACTTAAGCTTTTGTACAAGTAAATGGGGAATAAGAGTGGGTGTTTGTGTATTTCCGTATATGAGTATTTCAGATTTGTGTTTACTGACTTTTGTTGTTGCTGTCGGTTATTTTTCCTGCGGAGTTAAATAAGCGAAGGCGCTTATAATTTAGGACTCGCTTTTTAAGCCGAGCATTAAAAAGAAAAAGTGTAAAAGTGATGTCTGTGGAAAATGATTTAAACCTGATTTTTAAATTCAACAAGCTTTAACGACGATTTTTAAGTTGAAAGGATTAAATATAGATTTTAAGAGACATTTTTAAATTATTTAGAATATTTACATTT